ATATATATATATATGTTCAGTTTGAATCGTCAAACGAATTGAACAAACCGATTATCAGAAGAAATACGATAATTTCAAGGATCGCGAATTTTGGAAATGTTATTGCTTCGTGAAATGTATGTGTGGGTCGAATGCGAACAAATACATTCGCGATGTGTCATTTCCTAAGAACGTTATGAATTGAATGAAATAATATTTACACATGTGATGTCATAGTGCACGCATAATGTTACATAAATCCACGCGTCATATTACATAAATCCTCTGTGGAATGCAAACGACATTCGTCATCAATTAATCATTGCGTGCGCAGCTATTGCACTGGGACTTTTTGTGCCAAAATGTTTCGTTAAAATAGTAACAGAAAATTCTCATGCAGTTTCCTCCAGTTCCAGTTGATCTTTCCGAGCTAATCAGTTTGGGAATAACGCTCGAAACTTCAACATTCATTTCGTAGGACGAAGGCATTAGAAAGTGAAATAGGGAAGGTGGTAAAAGCTGTAAATTGAAAGCAGCGGATGAAAGAAGATCAGTCCAGGACAATAATTTCAGCAAGTGATCTATAGCTTCTCTAGCGGTTTTATTGGAGACGTTCGATCAGTGATCAATGAAGTATTCGTTGGGTTAGATATGCTCATCACCATCGAATTCATAATCACAATGAACAAATGCTCGTTCGACGTATGGTAATCTTTCCAGTTTCACTTGTAATGTTTCAGAGATGTCATGCGTTTGCCGCAGCTTCATTTCGGGATCCATCACCTTAAATTCCATCTCTTTAATAACAATCCAAAACTTCTCCACCGGCTGTAAACTGTTTTTGTGAAGAATTGATGCATCGGAATTGTTGCATGTTGCATGAGAATGCTGTAACAGCATCGGAATCAATCGTTGTCCATGGAAGAAAAATAACAAGCTTTATAAGGCCGTTGCGAAACCATTAGACTNCATGCTCTATCGATATATTATCTCATATGAAAAATGTTGAAATTCAAAATTTTTTTCTGAATTTGTTCAAATTCAGTCATATTCCAATCAGTCCATACATTGTTTTCATATGGAACACTGAAAGAGCATTGAAACGGATCGAGGGAAGACACAAGAAATTCGAATTGCAGTGTTAAAGCAACAATTCTTAATAGAATTACAGGTTTCTAGCTTATTGAATGCCAGTATGCAATTGGTAGATAAATTTGAATACAAACGGAATTTGACTACCACGTGCAGTTCGACGAGGAAGTTAGCACCAAGGTGATAGACAATAATTGTATCGATAAAACGAATTTCATCGTTGTGGCTGATAGCGATTTTAATGATCCGATTGATAAATTCACCACTGGCTGTTTTACCGACGAGTAACGGTATTTGCTCGTATGCAGTTTCGGCCCAGCTTGTGATAATAAATATACTAAAAATGACTGACAGATTCATTGAGAAAGGAAAATCGAACAATCTTTTACGTATTGATTGTGAAATGATTGAAAAAGGAATTTTTTTGCTGATCCTCTTCCATCAATTTTATCAAAAGACCCTTCCCGAATTTCCGGCCATCCACCATTCTAACAAAACGGGGAAATCGCAATTTTGTGAATAATATCCAGACGTTTCAAAAAAAANAAAAAAAATATCTGTTTCAGATTAAAACTTTCTGAAAATGAATCTTTTTAAATGCTTCAGATGTTCGGGAACTAAGCTGATGGTTATCGAAGATCACTGCTGACCTGTAAAAGAATATGAAAGGAGATTTACCAAACGAAAAAGGCGCCTAGTGGATCTGCGTAGAGCCAGAAACGATTTCCGATATAAGCACCAGCTAAAGCAACAATGTTCGTTAGAACATCATTGCGTTGGTCCATTGCTAAAACCTTAGCGCCAGGCGATTTTTGCTGGTAACAAATCAGAAATAGGATCATCTTCAGGACTGTTCCACTCACCATTATTATGAATGTTGGTAGATCAATAATCGGACCGATCTGCAAATATGAACGAATGCATTGCAAATATGAACATCGACATGAAAAATCCACCGGTGATAGCCCATCTAAGAAATCAAGAAAGTTCATCCCTCGGTAGATCAGATGGATCTTGTCAGGCTAACTGCTATGAAATCACGTAAGATCAGTTAGTAGATTTGGTATTTAAGATTTTAAAGTTCAGTTCTTTTGAGATTATTCCTGACAATAGCTGAATTCGTTATCAATGCTTTCGCAAAATC